AGTCCCACGGTGCACACCAGCTTGTGTATCGCCGATGCCATGGCCACGCGACCTGCAAGACAATGTTCTAATTTAGCCGGGGCTTTTAAAAAATGTTACGGCGAAATGCTCGTGTGACACAACAACAAAGACACCTCTATTATCACCCTCACCAACAACAACAATACCAACAACAACTACAACTCATTTAAATTCGATATTTTAATATTACCTGTAACCTCGTAATGATTAGTCTTCAGAGTTCAACGCACTATGCCAAATACAGAGAAAGACAGTTATTTAAATCAATAGATCAACACTGCAGACTGCAGTAGAAGAAGCTTCTATTGAGAGAAGAAAGAGAATTCCAACATGGAATCACTGAGGTAAAAACATAATTATACTGACCCTATAGTCTACTTTGGCCTGAAATGATATGCAATTTAGAAGTAGACACGCACCTTAGTCACAGAAAATCACAAATAATTAGTAATGTGGAGATTTCAGGGGAGGAGACGTTGTATATTAAAAGGTAGTTTATAGCAACCACTGGGGGAAGCCAACTTTAGTTGTACGGGTAATGCAGAGGAAAGTGAAAGAGAAGGGCAAGATTCACAATAAAGGATAGAATAATTTAAACTCACAAGAAATTTTAGCAAACAGAAAATATCCTGGAATTCTATTATTAAATTCGAAATGACTAAAACTGTGTGGATAAAAAGTTCCCCAACAAAAGATACTAGTACAAGGCAGGGGGTAATGCACCAGTCAATTGAAATTCTGGCCCCCGAGCCCAGGGAAAAGGCGGGGAATTGAACACTTCCTTAGTGTTAAAAACAACAATTTCCCTGCCCATAAGGGGCAGGTAGTCTGTTAAAAGCCCCTATAACCGGGGATCATTTCTCAGATTCCAAACAAAACTAAATTCTGGTTCGTACAGTCCAAGTATTTATTCATGTGAATTTCTGTCATGTGACGCCTTTTTCAAATAAACCTATCAATTGGTAAATTACTGCAGACTTTGTAACGCCGAGTCCCGTAAATGATTTAACATGAGAAGAACAAAACTTATAATGTAAAATTACCAAACGTGCAAATCCTCTATTTTATACTAAGCTTGCATTAAGTTTTCACAATACTGTTCCTTGTTAAATCACAGCTAATTAGCAGAAAATTAGTTAAATAGCCCCACTCGTAAAACGTCTTGTTAATTTCCCAGTCACCCCGGGCTACTATGTCGTTAAATGCGTGTTAAATCCTGGCTGTGGCAGCGTTAATTCTCCGCCCTGTTGCGGGGGTCGGGGGGCCGGGGTTTCAATTGCCTGGTGCATAACACCACCCAGATGTGAGGCAGGGGATTGCACCACACGTGACCCGTGCGCAAGGCAGGGGGTAACACTGCCCAGGCACCGACCGGCACCTGCGTAACATGGGTGCAGTTGGACAAGGCAGAATGGTACTACCAGGCTGCTGCGTCACAGCCAGCTATATAAAGAGCCACGGTCTCCCGATAAAAGGCAGTTCGGCCAGGACGGCCACAAGCTCGAATGAGCAAACATCGAGGGAAAGGGTTGGATCACCTACGAGCTCAGTTGAGGATCGACACCAGCGAGGGAATATAACAACGGGAAGGTATAACGAACAATAAAGATGGATCTTGGTCACGATTCGAACATCGCATCAGCATATTAGAGGCGCAACTCATCAAATGATTCGAGGAGCAACATATCAAACGATCCAAATGACCTGGCCGTGCTTCAATCAACCGACGAGGAACGAACAATGGATCGATCATTGTCCGGGAGACGGAGTACAAGATTTTAGACATATATTGTAGATAAGATATACACGTTACATGAATTGGTTCATGGATATAAGCGCTGACCACAATTGATTAAAGGTACTGGGGATGTGCCGC